TATTGCAGCTAGCTCACTGATATCTCGAGTAAACATTGTACATCCCGCTCGCGAGGTTAAACGAGCTCTCTCTTTTTCTCTCTGTTTGATCGTCGTAATTTTGCGAAGAGTTCGAGCCGTAAGAACTGCTGCCAGTCGATATTTTGGATTATCGAGTTTTTAACTATTTTTCAATATGGGATGAGTTCCGAGGTAATATTTCTCTTCTTTTTATACCATATGCTCGAATACTTGCAAACTGTCGATGTAATTTCGCAAAGTTTTTTTTTACTCAACTCTGCAGCCGAGGATCCTCAACTTGATTATGGAGTTGGGATTTTATATTGAACGGAAATCGTTCTGCATCTCGCGCGCGAGCACACATATGTGCGGCGATCGAGCAATAAATTTTCCTGGTCTATATATATACGATTGGAATGGAAAAAATTACTAATTAAGTGTCGGGAAATCACTATGCTGTTCGATCGTTTTTAACGTATAATTTCGAAATCGTTGAAATTAGTTACATTCGTGTAACTAATGTTGTAACTAATGAAACGACACGGGTCCACGTTAATTAAATTTACGGATCTTGCGCACAAAGAGAGAGAGAGAGAGAGAGAATCGCGCACAGCGAACCAACCAACAACGAAAAATCCAGCAACCTGTGTGCACACCTCGGATACATATACCACCTACATATATAGTATATAATAATAATAATGAAACATTGACGTCCCGCGCGTGCGAACAAAGCAGCGGGGGAGGATGGAGGAGGGGGGGGGGGCGCTTTAACAAAAGCAAAATCAATTAAGCCCATAAATTAATAACACGGTATTATACGACCCTAGGCAATTGTTAGCATGCCAAGCCAAATATGGCAATTCTAGCAGCTGCTGCCGCTGCAGTATAAGCTCATAATAATTATACGATCGCGTGCGCGTGTCAGTTATGACTGCCAGCACTCGCGTTTTCTCTCTCTCTCTCTCTCTCTCTCTCCTCTCACCCTGCGTATAGTCAACACTCGTACACGCACATACACATACACATACACATACATATAGACGAACTTCTCTGGTTATATGTAATATACGTATTGTTCACTTCTCTCTCTCTCTCTCTCACGAGCGATTGATTATTGTGTTTTGCGCGATGAAACCACTAGTTACACGGACCCGCGCGGACGACTCCTCCGCCTAAGCTAGTTTCAAGGGTCTTCTCTATTCTATAACTTCGATTCCGCACCGCGCGCAGTATATGTATTATAATCCCCTTGAGTCTTGAAATGCGCGCCCCGCACACACAGCACACACATACATACACACACACACACACACACACACACACACTCACCCACACAAGGCAAAGTTTGATTTTCAGTTTTCGGACGCAGAAATATTACTACCAACGTATTGTGTATGCATATAAGCGGATCGTTACCCAAGCCAGGATTTATCGATAAATAATGCCGATGTAGCAATAATCTCCCACTCTGTATGCCCGCGCGCTAGTATTATTTCACATACACAAACGCATAGACATCCCTTTTATTAGTATAATTCAGACGCAGAGAATTTCGCGGAGTCTCTCTCGCCGTGTGTAATTTGTGACCTACTTTGAGTGCGGGGGGAGGGGGAGGGGGCACCGCATTAAATACATGCACACACATAACGCGAGAGCGCAAGCACAGAGCATAGTGAGAGAGAGAGAGAGGAGAGAAAAGTAACCTATCTGCAGCAGTGCAAGTACGCCAAGTGCTAGTCCGAAAAATGAATTACGACGTCCCGTTACACTTCCTCGACGGAAATGGAGTTTCACCACTATGTGCGTTATACAACGCGCGCCGTAGTAGTAGTACCTAGTAGCAAAGCAAAACGTTGCACATAGCTGCACACACACACACACACACACGCACAAAGACACAGAGATACGGCACACGTAGAAAACACAGAGAAAACTAGACGACTGTCATTCGTCGCGTACATACATATATACACTCTCGCTCTCTCTCGCACTTTTCCCTCTTTCCCATAGTATAGTGCACCGAGCAACACACCTATGAATTTTCGAAAGCTCGTCGTGGCACGCCTGGCTGTCTGTCTATCTCTGTCTCTCTCTCTCTCTCTCTCTTTCTGTGCAGTAGTAGCTCCGTATATACACAGCGCGCAAAGTGGACTGAAAATTACATTAAATATTTGAGCGAGCGAGAAAGAGAGAGAGAGAGAGCGTAAGATTATCTGCACGAGAAGCTGTTACTGGTGGCTAGGGTTGGCCCACAAGAGAGACAGCCGGTTTTAGCGGCAATTAATTTAATGAAAAACAAATAGAATGAAAAACGACGGTAGGAGAGAGGTAGGTGCATAATATGAAAGAACTACTGCAATAAAGATCGGAGCAGCTATTGCGCGCGGGGAATCTTTTAAATGCAGCAGAGAATGCTGTTTATTAATCTCTCTCTCTCTCTCTCTCTCTCTCTCTCTCTCTCTCTCGCTCTATCCTTTCAACTTTTATTTTTTTTTTCTCTCGAATTTATATAATGAAAAGCGTCCTAGAGAAAGAAAAATCTTACTCCATATATACCCGAACGATTCGGTTACGCTTTTGCGAGTTCAATTCTTTTTGTTTTGTTTGACCTCTCTCTCCGATCTTTTTTTATTTTTATCTACCTACGACTCTCCGCAGAAAGGAAAGAAAGATTGGTGCGCACACACACGCATGCACCCACACACATTTTACACGAACACAGTGGATCGATTTCTATTTCCGATATACAAAAAAAAGGCGCGCTGCAGTACACAAAGGAGGATAATCCAAGAGCGAGAGAGAGCGAATCGTATATATACGGTTATTATGGTATACATGCAGCTTTAAAGAGATGCGCCGCGGCAGAGGCAGGCTTTAATTTAAAACCAATGCCCCGTGTGTGCAGCTCTCAAATCGAGCGGCTAATTCGATTAACAGATTATTCTCGACGCTCACTCGCGAGCACGCGATAATGCACACACCGCCTACCCGGGGATATATATATGACGTGCCGCGACCTCGGCTGCGATCCGCGAGCGAACGAGGAAGAAGAAAAAAAAATATTATTTTGAAATTTCGCGTCGACGCGCTGATCATGGAAAGTTATTAATAAACGCGCGCGACGGCCGTTGGCGAGCTCGAACTTTTATGAAGTTAGAATTAAAAGCTCTGTTATGATCGAGTATCGAGGATTGATCGCGTCCGCGAGTGCGCGCTCGCGGATTTGCGCTCCAAATGCAGCTGGGTTATTGCTGTTGCTGCGACGCACATATCTATTATGCTGCTGCGTATCCGAAACATCGAATTCCGCGCGCGCGCACTTGATGGATGATTTTTTGAATATAATCGGCACGTATACGGAGCCATTAATGTGTACGACCGAGCTCTCTCTCTCTGCGATTGTTCTACTATAGAAATTCATTTCGCGAGAGAGAGAGATAGAGAGAGAGAAACTTCGCAGCTATGTATGCATGTACGCGTACGTACGTGTTAAAATATACATACGCGCGCTTCGGCTGACTTGTACGCGTCGAAAAACGTCGGGGATAAAAATCTACATTTAATTCATACGCGCGGCGAAAAAATCCATTTCAATTTTAAAATGAAAAAAAAGACAGAGAAAGAGAGAAAGAGAAAAGTAGGAGGAGGAGAGGCACGATCGTCTCGAGTAGGTAGAATCAGAACAACGACGACGACGACTACGACGACGAATATATACTTATATACTTCAAAGACAAACGGTAGAAACACGCGAGCCGAGCGCCGATCGAATTTCTAGGGCACGAGAGGAGCGTATATCTAGATACGTATATAGAACGCGCAAAGAGCGTACCTAGCGGTGGGTAGAAGGTGACTGGGAGCCGGGAGCGAGAGAGAGAGAGAAAGAGGTGAGGGGAAATTGCGCATCGCGACGAGAGGAAACTGCCGCTTCCGGGTCAGCGGATAGCGGAGTTATTTCCATTTTTTTATTAACCATCCCTTGGTTCGCGCGTAATTGCCTGCAGCAGCAGCAACCCCAAACGCAGACACCTTCTTGTACTGCGGATTAGCCGCGCGCTTGTGCTTATATAAGGCTCGTAAGCGATGAATCTTGGTTATTGTATATGATTTTCAATTTGTTTAGAATAATAGGTAAGACTGGGAATTAATTCGGAATGTTTTGTGCATTTGGTTGCAAATCTCGTTACGGGAAGGTCCACAATATGCTAATCAAAGACCTATGGCTTTTGTTGATTCTTTGATAGATGCGATTTTATTCTGACGTCGTACGTGTTAAATATATTTTGAGAATCAACCGACCGAATCAAAGTCTACCACATAGTTGTAGCCTTTTCAAAAACTCAATTTTGATAAAAAAAATGAGATTTAAACAAAAAACCTTAGTCCATCAACGTCATTGAGCATGATCAAAGTATTTTTAAAATTTTAATGGTACCTAATAATAACTGCCTTTAATACAATCCTATCCAATAAAAGTAGTGAGGATTTTGGCGTTAGCATTTTATACGCGCTGTGATTGGTTGTTCAGTAGCTTGCTTTTGTTTTGTAGCGCGCAAATACGAGTATTATAGTAAGTTAAGATAAGAAAGTGGAATATTAACCTATGGACGGCTGAAGACTAATTTTGATTGGTTTTCTCGAGGAGACGCTGAGGTGAAAAGCCGACCTATTGCGTATTTTTACAGTTTATAAAATAACCTTTATTTAATTTTTCTATTTTAAATGTTGAAAAATGGCAAAACGGAATAAGAAAGAAGAGAGCGCGCTGAAAGTCGAGCTAGTTCCTTTAATAGGAAATAAAACTATTTAATTCGTATAGCGAGTAATTCTTATTCAATTTCAATTATTCAATTATTTCAAGAGCAATTATTTCAATTATTCATCATCTCTTCATTAACATAATTTGGCTACATTGCCATGGGTCTATAAGACACAGTCGATCGGATGTTCGTTCGCCGTGTGTATTTATAGCTCATGACAACACTGCTCCAGGCCAGCAGACGCGAGCCTTCTATACTTTTGTTCTTGTTGTATCGAATAATTTATCATCGTTGGTATAAATAACAATTAAGAGCCACAACGTCTCTGTAGGCCAGCATATCCACAGTACACGTTCCCGCGCCACAGAGTAAACAAAACGAAGGAAGATCACGACGATCGACTACAGCAAATTATTAAAGCTGAAAAAATATTTCAGATCGTAAACGACTTCGCGTCGTACGTAAGTGTGCAGAAAAATGGTCCGGTCCAAAATTTTGGAAAAATTGACGAACTTACTAGAAAATTTAAATTTGGAGAGCGAAAGCGACCGATGGGAATTTCTCTGTCAACTTGAAGATTTAATCAGCAAATGGAAGAGTCAACCTCTGAGTCTTCGAGAAATTTGTCGGCCCGAAGACATTGAGCGTCTTCTCTGGGATTCCATATATTATAAGTAATACATTACATTTAAAAAAAATTTTTTTATAACTTTGATTATGAGCTGTAGCAGCACTCAATAGCTATGATCATCCAATGAATTGTTTCGCACACAGGTGTACGACCCGTTCGAACCCGTTTGCTCAAAAAAAAAAAAATATGTCGTATAGTGTTCGAACGTGTCGTGCGTCCATAACTTAATTTTTAATTTTTAATTAATGATATGTCAACATCCCAGGCAAATCAATCGAAAGGCCAAATTCATCCGTTTCGTGGCTCGGGGCGGCTACAAAAACGAGCCCAATGTCGATGCAGACGGCAACCCACTGGTGCAGCGCACCACACCGTTGCATCGCGCGGCCGCCAACGAAAACCTTGACGATAAGATCGCCGTCCTCAATGACCTCTTTGAGATTTACAACAACGTGAATTACATCAACGAGGCCGGCCTTACGCACTTCCAGGTGGCCTGCAATTATGGCTGCGACGTCGCTGTCCAGAAGTTTCTCGAGTTCGGCCAGGATCCCAGTGGCCCCTTCATAGAAAACGGCGATTCGCTGCTGCACGTGGCTATGAAGCAGGGGCACGCGAAGGTGGCCGAAGCGCTGCTGAGAAAAGGCGCGAACCCGAACGTGACCAACCGCCAGGCACAGACACCTCTGCACATTGCTTGCGCGAGGAAAGAAAATGCTTATGCCTTGTCGAAGTTGTTATTGAACATCTGCTACGACATGGAGACACGGGTGGATGTCGATGCCCAAGACATGAACCGTTGCACGCCGTTACACCTGGCTCTGCTTAAAGATGATAGAAAAACGGCCCAATTACTGCTGAGAAGAGTCGCCAATCCCAATTTAACCAACGCGAGAGGAACGACAGCTTTGCACCTTATTTGCAACGCGAGCGGAGACGACGAGGGCTTGCTGAAAACGTTGCTCGCTGTCAACGAAGTGCACAATCGCAATGTGCTCATCAATGCACCGGACACGGGCGGCCGGACAGCGCTGCATTTCGCTCTCTTTCGCAACAACAAGAAATTGGTAAAGTTACTGCTGAAAAATGGCGCCGATCCGACCATGATCGACAAGGAGGGATGGACGACTCTGCACATCCTCTGCGAGAAAAAGAACGACGGCGACGAGTTGCTCAAGACGTTGTTCGAACTCACCGACAGCCAGCGTCAGCTTGCGCAGATCAACATCGTCAACAGATCGGGCAGCGCGCCGTTGCACTTGGCCGCGCACAACTGCAATCGGAAAATGTGCAATTTTCTGCTGAAAAACGGCGCCAATCCAAACAAAACCAATGAAAACGGACTGACTCCTCTGCACATTATTAGCCAGAAATGCCTCAATGGCGACCTGACCCTCAAGCGATTCTTCAAGATGTGCGACAAATATAAGCGAACCGATATGGAATTCGATGCCGAAATAGAAGTCGATACGGCTGACAAAGAGGGTAACACGCCGTTGCACTTCGCCATCCTCTACAACAACAAGGAGGCGACCAAGACGCTGCTGAGAAGAGGCGCCAATCACCAAGCGGCCAACAAGGAGGGATCGACTCCTTTGCACTTGATCAGCAGCATAAGCAATTGCGTCGAATTGATGGACACATTGTTCAAGGAAGTGCGAAGGAGGGTGGACGTCGACGCCCAGGACAGTAAGGGTAATACAGCGTTGCACCTCGCCATGCTTCACAACAACGAGAAAGCGACGGAATTGCTGCTGAGAAGAGGTGCTTGTCCCTTTTCGACCAACGCGGAGGGATCGACTCCGCTGCACTTGATTTGCAACGGTGGACCCGATAATATTACATTGTTGAGGACATTCTTCAATGTCAATCAGGAGCAGGGTTGTCCGGTGTTGATCGACTTACGGGACAAGCGGCGCCGGACACCGTTGCAATTGGCCGTGGCGAATTGCATGCCGAACGCGGTCCATGCACTCTTGTATCACGGTGCTAATCTGGCCAACTACGTCTTTGTCGCTCCTCTCCGCTACAGTACGGTACAAAGGAACCACGAAAGCAGACACAATTATAAATTGAGGCTAGCGTCTGGCATTATGGCCATCGCCGAGAGTCTCGAGAAAAAAGGATACGTGTTTGAACGTAGCGACGCCCTCGCGATAATGGAAGTGTTCGTTGAGCACGAAATATTCGAGAGTTCGGCGGTCGCCGTGAAACGTTTGTGCGCGGACGAGAGCTTCGCAAGCCAGGCGCAAAAAATAATGATCAGTGCGGGCTGGCCGCTCCACAAGTTGATCCAATTGGAGCCCGACAAGGCGGCAGGATTACACACTCACGCGGAGTACCACAAGTTCGCCAGTTCGGAAAAATTGAGTCGATTCCTCGAGGCGCGTCACGAGGAGGTTTGCGCTCTGCGTATGTGCGAGACGACGACGAGAAGATTTTTCCTGCGTTGGGCCCTGGAATGTTTCATGGAACTGACGAAAAATCGACTGCCGACCGAGTGCAGCGAAATGGTCATCAAGAATTTAACGAACCAAGATTTATATAAAATTTGCTTGGCCTGTTCAGGGAAGTGACAGCGATAAACATATTTGCAATATTTTCTATATCTCATATAAAATTTTTTATATTCTTCATATTCTAAAACATATTCCATGAATATATAGTCAAAGTATATATATTCCATTCAAATAAATAAATGTAAAAAGTGAGTTTTTATGTTTCTATTGACAAGCACACGTTCACTTGAAATAAATTATCTTGAGTTGTGTATACATTACCACGGCACCTGATCGAGACAAAAGTTATCTTTACAAACGTGAAAAATGTGAATATTAAAAAAAAGTATCCAAGTCGAAGAAACTCAAAAACTCGAAAAAATCGCGAGTACTTGCTCGAGTTCTGCTGATCGTCCCGGTTCTTGAATTTTTTCAATTTGACTCGAACTCGCCGAGTCGGGTTAGATTATCGCGCGCGCGTACTCCCTTTGTACGATTTTTACATGTTTACTCTTCATATCCAACACACCGACAGAAGTTTCACTTAAAAATAAAAAGAAATGAATAAAAAATAAAGCAAAATGACTAATCGCTGTTCCATTACACGGGGACAAATTATAAAACACTCTCGTTTTCATTAAAGGTCTAAAAAGTTTCGCTCGCGTATATAATGCTACATAAAATAATCCCGCGCCCTCGCTGTCTGCAAATAGAAAATCTGTGTTAACGAGCCGACTTCGAAGCTGTATACAAGCCAAGAAAGAGAGAGAAAGAGCGAGTCGAGCCATGTGAGCCCGATTTTTACTACTCAGTGCCTGCACTGTGCGTGCTGCGAGAGCTCGCGAGCAGTGTGAAGGTTGAAATCTAATTTTCAAACTTTTGGCGCACACACACACACACTGGCTTATACATACATGTACAAACTGATTCACAACTCACAAACGGACGCGTGTGAGTGTGTCTGTATGTGTACCTCTTAAAAACTCTAAAAACGTGTCTATAGATCGAGAGAGAGAGAGAGAGAGAGAGAGTCGAAACGAGGAAGGGGAGAAAAAAAGAGAGCCGGCGCACGAAAGCTTTGCTAAAAAGCCATTCAAGCCTCGTGTGCGTGTTTGAAAAAAACTGTACGAGGAGCGAGAGCCAAGTGTATATATGTCTATGGAAGAGGGCAGTGAAAAAAAAAGAAGAAGAAAGTAGTAGGAAGCGATGAGCGAAGGCAGTTATTTTATGCAGCAAGTTAAGTGTAAATCTGCAGAAAGTGCATCGACGAGAGATAGTAGATTTTGTACAAGCGACCATTAGTACATAATAAATCTCAATTAATCAAAGAAGACATGCGATATCGAGTTTCAGTTTAATAGCCGATCGACGTTGCGTATTATATTAAAAGAGAGCGCCGCGCGCGTAGGGATTTAATCAAAATATTTGTGTATATGTGTGATCACTGCGGTGACACCGGCACTTTTCAATTGATTGGCTTTAGAGTTTCGACGAATTATATTTTGATCTTGTAATTTATTCAACGGCCCATTCGATTATTTACAATTCGATTACGGTAAAATCATAGAGATGTTCGGGTAAAATCTTTTCGAGGTTCCGTAATATATTATACCATTAATGTATACTAATATTTTAACTACACTTGCTTGATAGAAATAGTCAACAGGTAAAGATAGAGATTACAATAATACGAGCGTTAATCAATTTTTGTTTATCATCACGCTTTTACTTTGCCGCTTGTAGCTTTACAAGTGAAGGTATTCGCCATCAAGCGGTGGAGGCTTTAAGTAATATTAAAAGCTTAATTAAGATTTGTAATTTGCCAAATGTCATTTATAATGCGTAAATATTTATAAAATAATTGTAACATAAAAATTTCCAAAAATAAGTCAATCAATGGTAATGTAATAAAGGGTATTTTTTATCATCAGGCTATTATCAATGCTAAATGATTTTTACCAGTCAAACTTATATTGACACAGAATGCGGAGATTCAATGTTTAAAGTAAACGCAAAGGACTTGGCGTTTTGTTTTAATTCAGGCATCTTTACAAATTCACTGAATCAATATAATTCTAAATTAAGCAAAATTAATCACGAATAAATCGCATTTTTTTCTGATAAGTAATCGATAATAATCTTCCGAACTCGCCGTCGCAACGGATTGGGCGCCAAAAGTTACTCTTTATTCGACTTTTGCGCTGCGAAATGTTGATCATTATCTGTACACGTGTCCCATTAATGCACGTGCGAGTGATCTGCACTGCACCGAGAGGCGCTTTCTCGACATCCGGGCGTCATATTCCTGTACATAGAATTTTGTGTGGGTGTGTTTGTGTGAGTGTGTGTGTGTGTGTGTGTCTGCTGCACGTGCATAATTTAGTTACTAGCTCTACGCGCCAGTATATATGAGCTTTGCGCATCGTTAATGACCATTAAGGTTAGTTACGAGGTGATGCCGCGCGCGCGATCTAATGCATCGACATCGAGAGAGAGAGAGACAGAAAGAGCTGACAAATATCAATCATTCGTGCGTGACACACGCATGCCGATGATGTATCACTCGGAGTTTCCAGCTCGAGTCAGCTTGTTCGTCAATATCAATTATCATCGTTTATTACGCGTACTTTATAACGTCGAGTCTTTTTTTTTTTCATCGAATCATGCCACAAGTAATCGATCTCGATGTCTGCACTTTAAAACCTATATCCCCCCCTAGAAGTTATTCATCCTACTTGAATTATGGAGTATACCAAGCTTAATGAACGAGATTTGTGCAGGTGGCGCGCGGCTTTTGTTTTTTTTTTTAACTCCACCCGCCTCTAGCTTCGCCACCTTTGCAGAAAATCCGCAGGCTTCTCTCAGCCTACTTCAGCGACGGAACTTTATGCGCTACATACAGTGTAGCTGCGAAAGGCTTAAACTCAAGATTACCCAAGTTTCTTGCTGTATGCACACACACGCCCGGGCTTAATGACATTGCGCGTGAACAATTTCTCTCTCCTTCTCTCTGCGCACCTCGATGTTTGTTTTACAATTCGTGAGTTACGCGCCGAGGTATAAAACGAAAGTAGAGGTATATGCTATATAGTCACGGGCTCATCTGCGGCTAAATAATCAAGTCAATTGGCAACTTGCCCCGAAATGTTTAGTCGATGAGTTCATTTTTTTTTCTTCTTCAATTCGAGAACCGTTTTCAATACTTACTATATACGTTCGACAAATCAAACGTGAAGACTCTTGAAAATGATGAAAAAAAAAAAGATCTATGATTATTTGGAACACTGCGGAGTTTCGATATGTATAAGGGCGTGCGAGATCTTGTTAACTCTCCTTTCGTATGAATATTTCAACGACTCTCGTTATATTTATATGTCGCGCGCGCGCGGCTGTATGCAACTGTGTCAAATGGAATCGGAAATGATTCAATATTAAATTCAAAACTATTCTGCCTTTTTCATTTTTTTTTACTTTTTTTTTCCTTTTTCATGACAATGATTTATTCGCATTTTTATTATATTTCAAGGCAAAGTAGGTGCCAGCAAATAATAGAGCCTGCCCAAGCCACAATGTAGCTCTCTTGCGAGCTTCACGCGTGCATCCGACGTTTGATAATTCAGACGTGTGTGGCGTGCAGTGCGCGCGTGGGATAAGACACTATAACTACACACACACACACCCACACACAGTGGCCGTGACGGCCTTTAGAGGCGAGGGTATGGGTAGGGTGGATAATGCAGGAAATGGTCAGTATAACCGAGTATATATCCACGAAGCAGCCCGGGTTCATGCGATAGATAGATATATTGTGTGTGTGTGTATGTGTGTGTATTATAAGAGAGTGCGGTGGCTTGTGCTGTGCTTTTCCCCTGACGAATTATGGAAGGATTTCGCCTGCCACCGAGGAGGATACCTAAAAGAAGTAACTCTCGGCCTCGATATCCTTCTTTATTTTTTTCTCTTTGTACCTCGCTCTCTCTCTCTCTCTCTTTTCTCGACTGTGTCTACGTCACAATAAAATTACGCAAACAAAGTCAAGGGAGAAAGATTTTTTTCGTGAATTGGCGTGTAACGAAATAACGATGTTAAAATCGTTTTCAGTTTTTATATTTAAAATGTTTTTTTTTCACTTTTTAAAATGGGAGAGGGCTCGCTCATTTCAAGAGCGATCAACCTTTTTTCGTGGATTTTATGAATATTATTCCGATCGGTCGTGAAATAAATGGAAAATACAATTCAAAATAAATAATTGAAATATAATTTAAATTTTAACTATTTAACCATTCTTCCATTCGAGCGGCTTATTGATTATCTCGAGTATTCATGATTTTTTTCCGCTTTAATCTAAAAATCTCAATTCCCCAGCTAATTTTAGACTCACGCAAAAAAAAATATGTTTTCAACTTGTGCAAATACGGTTTTTTTGTATCACTTCAAAGTTAAAATCTCGCAACTTTGCCGCTACACGCGTTCTTGAGCCATAAAATATTGTGCACAACTTGTATGAATGTGCTCTTTCAACGTATCGTTACAGCGCGCGTATATCGTTAACATATCGTTTCAACTCGTTACAGCGTATCCTCGTTTTGCCGAGAAGCGATACGCTCACTCATTGTAAAATATATACTGTATTTGTAGTTTATGCTCTGTTAAAATGTACACCGTCAAAAACACGAACATACACACACAAAAGCTAAATTCTTCGGAATAAAGGGTAATGATCAAAGTAAAGCATATATACATTTACAATGTAGCCTCGCCTCTTGACCAGAATCAGGTCAATGGGTCGGGCAATCTTTCTTTATTCTATTTGTTATAACGCAGGATTTCCTCTTTCAGTGCCTTATTATGAGCTATGTATAATATCGAACCTGAATGTGCCATTAAAACACATAGCTTTTTTTATAAAATTCACGTCAAAAATGCATGACGAACTCTCCATGTTATATATGATTAAGTTTTTGATAATTTATTATTTATTTTTGTTCTCTCCAAAAGACTCTTTAATGATTGCACTGAATTATTTCAAAAAAGCTTTGGCATTATCGTGGTTTCATTATTTTTCTGTAACCATAACCTTTATATAAAATAAGCTGATTTATAAAGGCTTTTGAAACAACGTTTGATAGGTTGTAGATGTACTTTATCGTGCATTTACTAAAAGCAGAAAATATCAAACAAAAGTTGCATTACCGAATGTAATGCCGTTGTGCATCGGTTCAATTGGGTAGAGTATGTTA